TTGAGACAGAGTCTCACTCTGCCACCTAGGTTGGAGTGCAATGGCATGATCTCGGCTCACTGAAACCTCTGCCTGCTGAGTTCAAGCAATTCTCATGTCTCAGCCTCCAAACTAGCTGAATTCCAGACACATGCTACCAGCTAATTTTTGTGTTATTAGTAGAGATGGCTTCGCCATGTTGGGCAAGCTGGTCTCACACTCCTCACCTCAAGCGATCTGCCCACCCCAGTTCCCCAAAGTGCTGGGATTACAGGCACAAGCCACCACTCCTGGCGAGGAATTTGTCATCTTTTTCTAAAGTTCCTTCAGAGCAGCCTGCACCAAGCGAGGCACAGTGTTCATGTAGAGTAAACATCCTGGGAACGATAGAATTAAAAAATCCCACCTGATTGTCCTAAAGTTACAGCTTCTCCGCAAAGCCACCAGTGATACCTGCATGGCTGTAAACAGCTACCTAACATTTCAGTGCAGTGAGTCATCTGAGATTGGGTAAGGATTTTGATTGAGTGTCCGATGTCAACTGTGTGCTATAGAAGGATGCCATTCCTAATTTCTCAGACATTCCAGGGACTTTGTCACTCACTTCTTGAGTCACAGGAAGGTTTTTCCTCTTTGATGTCTTAATGCTTCCCATGCAATCACTCAGACTCTTGGGATGACTACTTTCTCTTTCCCTTCTTAAAGTAAGAACCAAATCTTGGGAGATTTGATGAACTTTTAATAACCAAGTGTGTGGGAAGGAGTGAGGAGGGATCATTCTGTTAACAGGCTCTGGGAATCTCATGGTCATGTAGAAAGAGGGATTCCTCAACAATGAGGAATGTGGTTTTCTCTTGCAACTGCAGATAGTCATTGAGGTCATAGAGACCTCTTTCCACATTCAGAACCTCTTCACAGATGCGGGCGGGAGTCAATGGGCAAAGGTGTAACAGCGTTGGCCATTTACCATTACCTATAAGAGGAAAAATACATCAGAAAGCAGTACACCACCAAACAAGGTTTCAGCCTCCTCTCTACTCTATCCTAGTACCTGCAGCATCCCCTGAGAAAACTCGTAGTTATACAACTGGACCCAGTAGATAAACTTCTGCTGACAGACTATCTTTTCTGTCTATTTGAGACAGTTGCTCACTTTATTTCTAATGTTTCCTCTTATTCCTCCAGTGAGGCTCTACCACTCAGTGTTGCAAGGTCTCCGCTCAGCCTCCCCTCTAGCATCAGAGATCCCCAGGGCCAGGGACTGTGTTCATGAACTTGAATCCCTGCATCTTACACTGGTCCTTGCACAGGTTAGTGGCCAACAGTGTTCATTGAATGTGTGTTTTTCAGTTCCGTGAACTATGACTGCCATTCACTGCTGAGGGCCTAGTTTATCTTTGGAGTAGCCCAGACTTGGGCTAATTGTGGCAAAGCGTGAAACCCAAGAATTCTTACAGAGGTAAAACAGGACAGGTATTGTGAAACATAGAATATTATCTTCAACAACTTCTAAGCATATAAAAATATCCATCATTTAAATCTGAATAAAATGTGAATATTTTGGTGTACTCATTTGAGAATGCCAGAAAGTATGAATATATTCTTCATACTGAGGCTATAAAGTTGCCTTATAAGTGTTAATGTATCAAATTTTAAATTCACACATCTTAGAACCATTTTTTTCATTTCTTTGTAATTATTTTCCAATTAAGCATTGAGAAGTTAATAATGGCAAAGAGATTGATTAGAAATCTTAATAGAGCATTATTTGTGAGAGCAAAATATTTAAAACAACATAAATGTTCATGAGAGGGTCAAGTTCATTAACTCTGAGTAATAATTCTAATTGAATATGATGCAATTTTTAACAACTGAGGATGCACCATGGATTGAAGATGTCTTCAAGATACATTTGTTCACAGAAAATCACATTGCTTCCTAAAATGTAGTGTGTAGAGCAACTTATACCAGGATTTGCTTAAAAACAAATGAAATCATAAACCTATGTGCTTCCATAGGCCTATATTTCCTCTGGAAGGAGAGTAAAGCACTGGTAAAGTTCTCAGGAGTAGGCTTGGGATCTAGGATTGAGATGAAGTCTAAATTTTGACTGACAAAAACAATTTTTTTCTTACCCATATTGTATTCATTCAGCCAAATGAAAGTTTAAATAATGACATAAGTAGAAATGAGCACTATGGGAAAAGACACAGGATATTCTCCAACTTGGGGAAATGGCAGGTGAGCTGACCTTGACCCTGGTAAAAAAAAAAATTTTACCCAGATATGGGTAAAAAATCTGAGGATGGCAGTGCAAGCAGAGGGTGCTCTGTGACAAGAAGGCCTCGGCCAGGAGTAGTTACAGGAGATGGGTCCCAAGGGACTGGTGGGGCCAGCTCAGGAAGAGCTGCCTCCTGCCCTGGGAGCCCATGGAGGCTGGGTACTGGGAGCTCCTGGGACACTCACCTGGTACACAATGTCCAGCACTAGGATGGTCAGTTCAAATTCTTTGCCAAGCTCAAAGGGCACATAGCTGACTATCACTTCTTCCTTCCAGATCCCATCCTCGTGGCTGTTCATGACCGCACAATGGCCAATGTACACTTGGAAGTGGAAGGCGATGTCTGAGTTTTCACCCATCCCCGTGAGTAAATCCACCTGCAGCTGTGGGTCCTTGCGGAGGGAAAACCACACAGGGTTGTGGACAGGTCTCTCCCTTGTGGGGGCACATACGGGACACACAAAGAAATCCTTCCCACCTTTTCATAGGTAGAGTGAAGACTTGGTGCTGATACTGTAAGCCTCAGCCCTCTGGGGCTGCTTCAGCTTCTCCTGCCCTTGAGGCATGAGATGCTCTGTTCCTCATCACAAGATGGAAACTGAGCCATAGTCACTAACCTTGGCCTAAGAGTTGTCCACTCCCTGAAAATTCTCTGTCTTTGATAGGAGCCACAGCCCCAGTCCCTGAGTGTCCTCCTGCCTGAGTCACCATGACTAGCCCACAGTGCAGCCACTGTAGTTTCTTGTCTGGAGCTGGAGGGTCTCCAAGACCTACGCCTAAACAGTGCCTCCATCCTGCCAACTAGACATTTCCACATCACTCACGCGTGAGATCATCCCCTGAGCAAATATTCTCCCTTCTGTTCCACCCCCACCCTTGGACCCTGGAGTACTCACATGAAAGGGAGGCTCAGCGTCCATTTGATTGTGATATGAGAACCAATGGTCAAGGACACAAGCCGTGAGAGTGGCACCTTCTGTAACAGATTGCCCTTAGAGATCAAAGAACAGATTCTGAGACATCCCCGCTTTCATCCTACCACAGGCAGGGCTCCATATTCCTGAAGAAAGGAAGGACCCATAGGTAAGAGAAGGGTTCAGGAGCCAAGATGCCTGAATTCCAGTCCTCATTCTGCCTCTTAACAAGCAGTGCCATCTCTTAACAAGCAGATCCATTACTTGGACTCTCCCTGCCTTAGTTTCCCCAGGACAAGGAGGATTACCAGGAATTCCTACTTTGTAGGGTGTTCTTGGTAATAGATGAGTTAATATGTGTAAAACTTTTACCCTAACCCCTGGCATGTATGGGGCCTGTTAGGGGTGACCTAAAAGAAAAGAGGAGTCCCCCTGGAACACTGAGCTGCCTTCATTTTCAACTCTGAAACTGTGAAAACAAGACTTGAGGATTTAAGAATTTAGAAATTCACTCCAGTGAGAAACAACACTTCTTGAAAGACAGAAGGAAATAATAAAGGAACAGGAAACCCCTGTGTGAGGGATGCACGTGCATCACAATCATCATGGGCAATGGACGTCCTTTCCAGAAGGGGACACATTGCTGAGAGCACAGCCCCAGGACTTGCACAAATGAAATGCCTGAGTCAGGCACATAACTGGAGGAAATGATTGATTTCTAGAATGACTACAGGTGGTTGTTTTTTCAAGACAGGGTCTTGGTCTATCACCCAGGCTGACGTACAGTGGTGCAATCGTAGCTTACTGAAGCCTTGAACTCCTAGGCTGCAGGATCCTCCCACCTTTGCCTCCTAAGTAACTGGGATGACAGATGTTATTTAAAATTTTTGAGAGGGTCTCACTCTACTGCTCAGGCTGGTCTCAAACTTTTGGCCTCAAGTTATTCTCCCATCTTTGCTTCCCAAAGTGGTAAGACTATAGGCATGAGCCAGTGGACCCAGCCATTTTTCTTATTACTATTCACTGTAAGTGCTGTCTTAACTGAGGCTATGCTTGTTCCTTCCTGGTTTTGGGTGATCCAGGCTCTGAAACCAGGGCCTCCAATGTTCTTTGCTAGCAAGCCAGCATCTGCCCACCCTCCTGTCCTACAATGGGAAGGACAGGCTGTGATGAGGGACAGGAAGAGAGCTGAGGCTGGGAGGCAGGAGCTGGTGGTCACTCTGTGCAAACCCCACCTGAGGAACCATCACCCCCATGGTCTGCATTCCTCTTCCCCATACTTATTGGAAAGAAACATCTGTGGATCATATATTCTGTTCTCATGAATGGTTGAACATGAGTCTCAGTAACTCCCAGTTCCCAAATCCCCACCAGCTCTGCCACCCAGGACCAACACCGACACACAGGGGAGGCTGCACAGCTGCTTCATCAGAGGCGCTGCTCTGTGGGGAGGAACCTTCACATGCACAGAAGGCCACATGCATGTTCCCAGTTCAACACCCAGCTGCATCCCAGCACACACACCCACAGTCGCACACAGCCTTGCCGCTCACTGAGACACACATCTGCTCACGGTGCATATGAAGGTGCTCAAGCACTTGGGCTGTACTCACACACACACACTCTGCCGTCATGAAGACAAAGCACACTCACCCATTACACTCCCTCACAGACCCGCCCATCCTGGTGGACCATCTGCCTCCCACCTAAAGTCACATCATCTCAGCAGAGTTCACTCTCATCAGACACCATCACACACTCACAGATGGTTGCACTGGTCCAGGGTCCACACCTCACACCCCACAAGCATCTCATACCATAGCCTCAGGGTCTTTAGTCCACAAACACACAGCTCTCAGTAAAGCATTCCCAGTAGAAATGCTAACATTTTCATCTTATAAAATCTCCCGTTTCCTTCTTGGTTTATGTAACTTGAGAGTATTGAAGGCTGTGCCTTTTCAACTCACCTGTAGCTCTGACATTTTTGCTTCCTCCGGGCAACTCTTCAGAATTGTGCCCATCTTCTATGTGAATCTCTGAGTAGCAGCATTTAAATGGTCCCTGTCAGCCCTGTCCTCTGACTTCATTCCTGATTCTAAACTCCTCCCAGCAGGCTTCCCTTGCAGCGTGAGAAAGGCTCAGGTGTCAGGAAGAAACTAGTCACAACCATAGCTGTTTGCAGGCCTGTGTCTGTAATGCACCAAAATGACAGTGGGGGAGGGGGCAGGGGTGGGTACCAGGCTGTGGATTGAGTTACCAGGGAAATGCATAAATAAGGATGATGTTGTGAGGAATGATTGTAAAGCCCAGCCTTTATGCCTCTCAAGCCTTTTCTCCACTGTGCAGAATCTACTCAGAAGGTGTACATTTTCCCAGTTTGTACAACGGTTAAAAAAAAATTTAAGGTGGGAATTCTTGGAAAAGGCGTTGACTCTTGAAGGTAATCTTTCTTTTTGCCTTTAAAGATTCTGGGACAACACTGCTTTGATCCTCAGGGTGATCGGGGAGAGAGGTAGAGAAGGTCCTTGCATGAACCTGCCCCACTCTAGGCCCCTTGGCTCTACCAGGTGAGGGCTGCTCTCATCTGTCTGTCACACACCTGGGCTCTAGCTGTACCCTCTTCTTTCTCTTGGTGTCCATGTGAATCAAAGTTTCAGAGACACTGTTTCTCCTGCAGATTCCAAAGAAAGGTAAGAGTGTTTGTTTTTGGTTTTTGAACTTTTATTTGAGGTTCAGAGATACATGTGCAGGGAAACTCGTGTCATGGGGGTTTGTGGTACAGATTATTTCATCATCCAGGTACTAAGCCTAGTACCCAACAGTTTTTTTTTTTTTTTGCTCCTGTCCCACCTTTCACCTTCCACCCTCAAGTAGGCCCCAGTGTGTGTTGTTCCCCTCTTGGTGTCCATGAGCCTCATCATTTAGCTCACACTTCTAATGAGAACATGCAGTATTTGGTTTTGTGTTTCCACATTAGTTTGCTAAGGATAATGGCCTCCAGCTCCATCCATGTTTCTGCAAAAGACATAATCTCATTCTTTTTGAGGCTGCATAGAATTCTATGGTGTATATGCACCACATTTTCTCTATGCAGTCTGTCTTTTATGGGCATTTAGGTTGAATCTGTGTCTTTGCTATTGTGAATAATGTAATAATCATTCACATGCACATGTTTTTATGATAGAATAATGTATATTCTTTTGGGTATATACCCAGTGACGGGATATCTGCATTGAGTGGTAGTTCTGTTTTAGCTGTTTGAGGAATCATCACGTTGCTTTTCACAATGTGATGATTCCTCAAATTTACACTGCCACCAACAATGTGTAAGTGTTCCCTTTTCTTTACAAGCTCGCCAGCATCTGTTATTTTTTGACTTTTGAATATTAGCCATTCTGACTGGTGAGAGGTGGTATCTCATTGTGGTTTTGATTTGCATTTTTCTAACGTTCGGGGATGTTGAGCTTCTTTTCAAATGCTTTTTGGCCGCATGTATGTCTTCTTTTGAAAAGTGTCTGTTCTGGTCCTTTGTCTACTTTTTTTTTTTTTTTTTTTTTTTTTTTTTTTTTTTTTTTTTTATGGGGTTGCGTTTTCTTTTCTTGTAAAGTTGTTAAAGTTCCTTATAGATGCTAGGTATTAGACCTTTTCAGATACATAATTTGCAAATAATTTCTGCCATTCTGTAGGTTCCCTGTTGACACTGTTGATAGTTTCTGTTGCTGTGCAGAAGCCCTTTAGTTTAAATAGATCCATTTGTCAGTGTTTGCTTTTCTTGTGATTGCTTTTGGCATCTTCTTTATGAACCTTTTGTCCATTCCTATATTCAGAATGGTATTGCCTAGGTAGTCTTCCAGGGTTTCTATAGTTTGGGGTTTTACATTTAAGTTTTTACCCATCTTTAGTTGATTTTTCTACGTAAAGCCAGGAAGGGGTTCAAGTTCAATCATTTGCATATGGCTAGCCAGCTATCCTGGAACCATTTCTTGAATAGGAAGTCATTTTTCCATTGCTTGTTTGGTTAGCTTTGTTGAAGATCAGAGGGTTGTAGATATGCAACCTTATTTCTGGGCTCTCTATTTTGCTCTACTGGTCTATGTGTCTGTTCTTGTACATGAACCATGCTGTTTGGTTACTGTGGCCGTGTAGTACAGCTTGAAGTTGAGTAATGTGATGCTTGCAGCTTTGTTCTTTCTGCTTACAATTGTCTTGGTTATTAAATTCATTTTTGATTCCATATGCATTTGAAAATGGTTTTTTCTAATTCTGTGAAGGATGTCATTGGTAGTTCAATAGGAATAGCATTGAATCTGTACATTTCTTTGGGCATTATGGCTGTTTTAATGGTAATGATATTTGCTATCCATGAGCATGGGATGATTTTCCATTTGTTTAGATAATCACTGATTTTTTAAGCAATGTTTTGTAATTCTCATTGTAACAAACTTTCAC